TAAACCTATCTTGTTCAATACTTTATCTTTTACATTTTGAAGTGCAAATTTAATAAGAAAATAACTACAACCAAAACAAGTTGACACTTTTTATTTAATAGATAATATAACTTACTCAGTTAAGTTAGTTTATCATCTGATTGATCATACATAATTTTTTATCATTCGAAAAACAGCAATATGAGTATAATTCTGACTACATATACAAATTACTATTTCAATAACTTTAGAAATTCAAATGACAAAATGTCAATACTCTAGTAAATCAAAAGTCGAATAACAAAATAGATTAATATTAAGCAGATCCAATAATTACTCTTTAGTATAAATTTAAGACAATTCTAACTTTTAATATTTATTTAGGATAATTTGCCTCAAATGTGTGAAACTCTAATTCACTAGTTAATCCCACTGATTTTATTTGAGAATTCAACTTAACTACAATTAAATTAAATATAAATATACAATACTAATATTTTTTTCTTTTGAGGCCCCTAGAAATTGGGGGCCCTAGACAATTGTGTAGGCAAAATGCCTCCATGGTCGGTTTTGACCGGTTCTCATAAAATGAAAATCCGTACCAGATCGAATTGGTCCGAAGTATGATTTAAAATTGTGTGAATTTATGTTTTATACTTCTCAAATTAAGTAATGTAAACATACATCTCAGATTAATGTTTTATGATTTATGTTTAATACTACCATAATTTGTCTGAAGTTTATTAATTATGTAATATGAAAATTAATGTGAATTTTTTGAGGAGAACTGAACTTTAATTTCCCATTAAACAATTGAGGAAAGTGACATTGTTGATATTGACATGACATGATAACATCGCGTTTTACAAGGGGACCACACCAAAGGAATTTAGATCTAAAATCGAATCGAATTGGACGGTGTCCAGGGACAGAACCAGGACACTGAACCGATACAAAGAATATTTTTTAAAAAAAAAATCTACACGAAATTTTTTACCTTAAAAATAAAAGCTATTTTTTGAATTTTGGAGCTAGCCAGGACTTAACTTGACCCACCCCTAGCTCCACCCATGACCGTGTCAGTAGTTATGGTGCGGTTACGGATTCAACAAAATTGAATCGTCTTGGACCGAGCCCATCTAGACCCTGGTAACCTTCTGTATCTTGACGAAAAACAACTGGAGTGTTCGAGAGACGGAGAGAGCAATAGACGACGCATTGAATAAGAATAGGGGCCCACAGCTTTACTACGGAGTATATTTGAAATGATGTGGGCCCTACGCTGATTCTCCGTGGAGCGGAATTTCATGCCTTCGTGATCGTGGCTTCACAAGAAGAGTACTCCGTCTAATTTACGCAGAACAAGTTTAGAAGGAATAATTTTGTCCAAAATGTTTTGGGTCAATTTTTTAGTCTCATCAAATTAAAGGATTTTGAATGATAAATACGGACTAATTAGACGATACTTTTTGCAAAAAAGGATGACACCCCATCCCCGAGGGCCCCCCAACACCGACCGGACGGCACGATGGGAGAATGTAAATTGGACTATAATCACAATCTGACAGATAGAGAGTAGGGCTCTGTCCCCGGTACTTGCAAAAGCCCTATGCATTTTTCAGCATAGTAACCCCTCATCGCAGTTGCCGGGATTCGAACCCGAGACCTAACCCTTGTGGCACGCCCTCGCTACCAGTTGAGCTACGCCCACCGGTTAGACGATACTTTTTGCACTTTTAAAATTAGTATACATTTTACTGTTTGAAATAATCATATTTTAATTGAGCAATCTTACTACTCTTAAGAGCTTCTCTCTAGGCGGTCGTCTCCCCTAGGATTAAAGATTGTTTTTCTCTGTTTTCGTCTTCAACGAAGTGCTTCTTTCTTGTGCGGTTTTCGTCATCCTTTCGTGAGACTCTCTTCTTCGGCAAACTGCAGCGCCTATATGGCGGCCAAAGGTTGTGTATCCCTAGCAGCATGTGAAGAGGTTCGATGATGTTGTTCATGGTTGAGATCAGAAGGTCATGGATGAAGCGTGAGGCTAGGGGGCTGGAACAATTCTGGACCAGAGGCAAAGAGCGGAAGATGCTTCAATACTGTTGGACCGTCCCTCTCCTGAACCGCCGCCATGGAGTGCAGGAGAGATTAGGGTTGGGAAGCAGTATTTTAATTTTATTGTTTGCTTCTTTATTTTCCATGATCAGATTGTTTATTTTTATGTTGGTTGTTTTTATTGTTGTAAGACTCTTGCATTAGGATTGAGTGATGAGAGATCTGTTTTAATCGTCGTTGGTTCATTTATGATTATAGGATCAGCGAGTTATATTGCTTTTTTGGAGGTGATTGACTCTAAGTCTGATTCGAGGGCTGACGATTGACTGTGATCCTTTTGTCATTTTACCCCCTGTTTGAATGTTGTGATATCAATTTAAACAATCAGTTTTGACGATCAAAAAAATTGAGCGATCTTACTATTAAATCATCAATCCCACTCCCCAAATTAAAAAATGTTCAATTTATACTCTTTAAGTTTTAATCCTTATCTTTATTTTTTCTTTATCCTCCCTCTTTCTCAATCACCCACATTGTGGTCAAAATATGCCGTTTGATATGTTCTTATAAATAGTATATTTGGTACAACTAGATGAAAATATAATTTTATGAACTCTTTATTAACCGTTAACTTTTAGTGACTGAAAAGATCTTAAAAAGAAAATGTGGTAGCTGTTTGGTGAAAAACTGACTGTTTGATTTAGCTTTGTTTAGTATACAAACTGTTAGACCTAATTAGTACTAAAAGTCACAGACTTTTTTCAGATGCTACTCCCTGTAGCATCTCAAAAAAGATATTTTAATTTTCGAAAAACTCTTAAAAAATTGTCATGTCAAACATACAACTAGAAGTTTTTAGGTGTTTTAAACAGTACAAATGTTAGAAAGTAGAAACTTATGTTTGACAAACATGCACTAAGTATAAGACAAAGAGTGTATGAATAGAAAGAATAATACTACGTAGGAGATTAGAAGTAGCTAGAGAGATGAAGGTATAAAAAATTATTTAAATTTATTGAGTGGGTATTTATAAATCTTTTAGGCTCTTCTCCCCCAAACCCCTAAACTAGCTAGGGTTGGGCATATCAATTTTGGGTTCAGTTGCTATCGGTTTCGGTTCGGTTCGATTTGGAACGGGTTGGAAGAATTATTACCAAACAAAAACCATACTATTTTTCGGTTCGGTTTAGTTCGATTTGGATTGGATTTGTTAATTTTTAATAATATATGAAGATCTTTTTGAATTTTTTTAGTTCGGTTTTGTTTTGTTCGATTTTTATCGGTTTCGGTCCGGTTTAATACGGTTTGGAAGAAATAATATCAAACTCAAACCAAATTGCATACGATCCGGTTTCGATATGATTTAGTTCGGTTTGGTATGATTCGGTTCGGTTAAACCAAACCGTTATGCACATCTCTAAAACTAGCCATTTGGAATTGTTGAAGGCTCCTCGATTAGTCGGCAAAACCCCCCAACAAAGCCATTGACCTTTGAGATCGGACTGAGCCTGAGATCGACCAACACCGGCCCTCAAAAAACACATTCGGGACCAAGTGATGTAATCCGAAGGAGGGGGCGATGGCCGGGATAGAAAAATCAATCTGGGGCAGGTCACAAAGAATATTACTTCTTTTGTTCTTTTTTAATTGCAACGGTCTACCTTTCACGTTCTCTATTAATATCTTTCATTCCTTATTAGTAAAAAAATTAAAATATTCATATTTTGAAAATTTAAAATGAGAAGAATTTGAAAATATTTTTTCAAAATTTAATTTATAATACATTAATAAATAAAATATAATCAAAGTACTCTCTTCGTCCCTAATAAAACTTTCAAATAGGTTTGACACACAGTTTAAGATAGTGGGTATTGTGTGGTGGAGAGTTGTGCAGAGGAGAGGAAAATGTGTAAGAATTGCTGTGAACCACAAATTTTTTTTCCAAAAAGGGAAAGTGGAAGTTTTAATTGAGACGGACAAAAAAGGAAAGTTGGAAGTTTATTTAGGGACGGAGGGAGTATAATATATGAATAGTGCAAAAATAGAGTCTAGATAAAATTCCACTAATATTACTCTTTTAAGAATACAATTATAATAACTACTACGTATAAGTTACCAAGTCATATTTTTGTCCATAACTTTTGTAGTTGTAATATTCTAGGAAAAATCTCAAAAGTGTAATGTTATATTACATCCGTCCCATTTATATTGGGACGGAAGAAGGTGACACGGTTATTAAGAAAAGTGAGTTTGTGTGGTTGATATTAATTGATAAACTAAGAATAAAGTAAGAATGATTTAGACCCACACAAACTTTGACAAATATGATATGAGACAATTTAAGTGGGACTTCCCGAAAAGGTAAAACGGGACAATATAAATGGGACGGAGGGAGTAATTAAAAAAGAATGGTGATAGTAGTAAATTACTCTATTACGTAATTAATTACTACATCCGCCTCCCTTAGTTTGAGACAAGAGAAGTTACCAGTGGGCGTAGCTCAACTGGTAGCGAGGGAGTGCCACAAGGGTTAGGTATCGGGTTCAAACCCCGACAACTGCGATAAGGGGTTACTATGCTGAAAAATGCATAGGGCCTCTGCAAGTACTGGGGACGGAGCCCCACTCTCTATCTATCATGTTGTGATTATAGTCCAACTTACATCCTCCCATCGTGCTGTCCGGTCGGTGTTGGGGGGCCCTCAGGGATGGGGTGTCATCCTTTTTTGAGACAAGAGAAGTTGACACGATTATTAATAAAAGTGGATTTATGTGGTTGATATTGAATTGCTAAAGTAAGAATAAAGTAAGAATGGTTTAGAACCACACAAATTTTGCCAAATAAGGTATGAGACAATTTTAGTGAGACGGACCGAAAAGGTAAAATGAGACAATCATAATGGGACGGAGGGAGTAATTAATTAATTCAAATAATACCACAACCCCATGTTACCAAATGGATTGAGTGATGAATACGGAAAACTGCGTATAATCGTAAATTTTATGTGGCTAGGAGAACATCGAACCCACCACCGCCTCATTCCCCGCTCTTAAATATCCGGCCTGCTTTCCACATTCTATCACCTATACCGCAATCCGCAAGTCACCGAGCAAAGCTTCCGCCTGGTACGCATCTGAGGTTGGTGTTTCTCCCCCCTTCTCAAATGATAGTTTTAATTAATTTTAGTTTCCGATCAATACACTTCTCTTATTATATTCTTCAGGTCCGATCTTTCTTTTGTTGATTGCGATAATAACAATAGTTTGTTGCCATTTAAACACATCTCTGTATCTAATTTTGCGTTGGAAGGGTTCCCCCTTTCCAATTTCAATTCCTGGCGTCAAAATATATTTTAAATTGATTTGATCTGTTGAAATTGTATCATGATTTCATCGTAGCGTTCTGATTTGATTACGGATTAAAATTGTTTTAATGACACCAATACAATTAGATCTGCCGTAACGATCGGAATTTATAGGGTTGGGTTTTTCGGGGAAAGTTTATCTCATGGCGGTGTGTATGATATGATATATACGTGGGTTTGTGCAGAGATCGATCTGTGCTTCCCGATCGAAGCGAGAAAAGTAACTCAAAACAAAATTACATGGTTGATATCGTGGAGGCTCAGATCCCAACAGCTTTTGATCCCTTTGCGGAGGCCAAGGAGGATTCAGGCGCCCCTGGAGCGAAAGATTATGTGCATATACGAATCCAACAGAGGAATGGAAAGAAGAGCCTGACGACGGTGCAAGGGCTGAAAAAGGAATTCAGCTACAGCAAGATCCTCAAAGACCTCAAGAAAGAGTTCTGTTGCAACGGCACCATTGTGGAGGATACGGAGCTCGGCAAGGTCATCCAGCTCCAGGGCGATCAGCGCAAAAACGTCTCTCATTTCCTCGTCACTGCTGGACTCCTCAAGAAGGAGCAGATTAAGATCCATGGTTTTTAAGCCGCCATCCCTTTGCCAGACTGCTTGATTTTGTCGTCCTTGTTTTTGTGTGTAATATCGACAGATTGCATACCAGCTATTATATTACTTACTACTCGTATTGTAGCTGTTTACTTGTTTGTTTGAGTGATTCTGGCTGTGAGTTTGTGCTTTATCAACATTTCATGTCATGGAGGGGTACATTGTGAATTGGATTTGTAATCGCATGCTTTCTTCCTGTTCCAGTAATAAATGCGCCTTTCCTATGAGTCCTTTACTTCTTCTTTGCTCCCCTAATGTTTATCTATGCACACCCACGCAGTGGCGGAACCAGGGGTGGGCGAGCCGGTGCCGGCGCCACCCCTTCGCCGGAGATGTTAGGGTATATATATATACAATTCCCACAGCGCCCCTGGTAGTCGTCTTCCTTGCCCCTGCTGTTTTCCGCCGACCTGCTCTGTTTCGTTGGACAATCGATGAGTTCAAAGGTTCTGCTTTGTTATGTTTTTTACTGCACCCATACGACGGCGTCTTAGTAAGCGTAAAAAATAAATAGAAACGACGTAGCATAGCTCATAGGCATACTTTAATATTGATTGTTATCAGTTATCACTTATAATTATCAGCCCAAAGGCCGTGGCTTGACCGAAGGCCCAACCGCTCATATTCTAGAATCACAAATATGAAACGACCTTTGCCCTTGTAGTCGATAACGGTTTGACCGGGTCTTCCGATGGGGTGAGGACGGAGCATTGAGGAAACGCAAGCCGCAAGCATCAAGCCTTTCTCTGTATGCTCATCTGGGATGTAGTGGTTCATTATTTATTTGATTAACTTGCTACTCCGTATTATTTAGTTTTTTAGTCATTTAATTTTGAATTTTTCGTATTTTGGGTTGCGATTAAGGCTGCTTTATTATTAATTGAGGTTTTAAAAGTTGCTTTCCTTTGCGAATTGCTGAATTGAGACATCTTATAACTAGTAATCATTGTTTTTAATTATTTAGTTTAGCTTGCTATTAATATGTTCCGTACAGTTTTAGGGTAAAACTTTATCCTTTTAATTATTTACTTTTTCAGGATTTAAAGTTTCAGAATTTCAATTATCTTTAATTAGTGTAGGGATTTATATTGTTTTATGTACTTGTGTAAATAACTTAAGTAAATAAACATGACCAATAATTTATATTATATTACATAATATTATTAATGATTTTTATAATTTTAATATTTGTTAGATTACCTATGTGTAGTTGACCCCAAATTTTTGTGGGAATAAAGGGGTGTTTGGAACTAATTCTGCTTCTTTTTAAAAGCAGAATCAAAATCAGTTTTCAGAAGCTGGTCTCCCCCAACTTCTAAAAAAACTGATTCTAGGAGTAAATTAGAGCACTAGAATCACTTCTGCACTTTCACCCAAACACTCCAGCTTGCTTCTCCTTCCTAAAGAAGCAGAAGCATTTTTAAGAACCAGATCCAAACACTCCCAAAGTTTAGAGGTTATTGTTGTTAGATTATGTACGTCTATATTACCATTGTACTTTCTCATATTTTCTCTTCACAATTTTAGTATTTTGAGTTTTGATGAATTTCTTGACCGCCCCCCTCAAATATTCTTCTGGTTCCGCCACTGCACCCACGGGCCACGGCTATAATGTTGCTGTCACCATTGAAGACAGTTGGATGCTGTGTACGCGGTAAAAGTTGTATATGAAGTTGCGACTTTTTTTTAAATAATATTTTGTCAATAACACAATTAAACGTTCTGACGGGAGGAAAAGACAACATTATTTATGTGACAGATACTTCTCTTTTTAGAACTTATATGGATTGTGTTTGATATGCTTATCATGTTTGATATGTTACAAATAAAAATTGTTTGTGCACTTGTAGAGTTGTCTGTATAACCTTTGTCAGACGGGTCCAAGTCCATAGCCACACAGAAATAGAGAGCATTCCTTCTTTCAATTTGTATTTCAAGTTCTCCCAAAATAGCTAAAGATTGTTTCCATGAGAACTGAATGAGTTCTTCTTCCGTACTAAATAGAGAGAGTGGCGTTCCCCCCCCCCCCGTTCAATAAATCTTAAGTGCTTCACATAGTAATAATGATGTAAAGTTCTCAACGTTCGAATAACTTGTACATCATTAATAAAACTCTTTTTCCAAAAAAACAAACAGGCGCAACTGCACAAGAGTCAAGACAATGTATAATAATCATGAAAGAGATTGAGGTTTTATGTGCAAACTTATTATAGAGTTTTATGTTATAACAAAAACTGTTAGCAGTTTATGAATCAAAGAATATAAGCAAATGCATCAAGGACTTGCCATTGATGTAATGTGCCAAATGCTAGTGGAAGTGGGAATCAAAAGAATCATGTTTGATGAAACGCAACTGTAAACTATTCTTTGACACACATGAATTACGATCAAGTCATTACCGATTTACCGGTGGTCTTAAGTATGTCCATGAATGAATTGTAGAGACTATTGAAGGAAAGCATAGTCATATCAAAACAACTAAACCATTACTGGCTAATGGTAACAAAGTGAAAAGAATGAAATTGGGTACGCAACAACTAAAAGCAATCTCGATTCCAATTAGCCATATTTTAATGATTTTTATCATGCCACCCATATTGATTAGTGTAACATTGTAACAAAGCATTTATTTAGGCCTACAAGAATGCAAACCAGCTGAAAGGAAAGTCAAAAATTAAATATGCAGGGATATAGAGACTTGATGGTTCATACGTATCACAACATCAGTAATGATAATTCTAGAGCAGACACTGATATAGACACTGGGTAACATTTCGTTTCCCTGAATGTTCATCTTGATGAGACCACATTTCCATTTGCTCCTAAACTCTCCACACCATACCAGGTGGAACCGTGGCAAAATTATGGCAAACAAATGAGTTGTCATCAGAATTTTGGCAGATGCGCTAGCTAGAGCCTCCAACCACGCGGACATATAACCCGGGCCTCTCATGACAACAACACTAACTTCATGGAAGACACCTCCGCTCAATATAATGAATCAATGATGATGATGACGACACTATGGATAACCCAATTGATACCTCATGTCCTGAACGGCTTCTTCGATGGTCTGCCGAAGACCTCCTCAAGCAAAGAACCTCCTCAAGGAAGAGTGTTGTGAACAAAGAAACTCTCTGTTCGTCTTCAATACCATGTCTGGACATATTTCATTTAACTAAACAGTCTAAACCCCACGGCCCTGCAACATCTCCATCATATGCTATGATTTATTCAAATATCATTTTAAGATATTTATACACTCATTTTATTTATATATTTCTATGATATAAAAACTACGAGATTCAAAATCTAGATACAATTGCAAAAAGATTTAGACAAATTTTATTTTCCAAGGTACAACAGAACATTCAAAGTTCTGTTCCTTGATGTTCTGTGTTTGAAACATAGTTTTACATTTTTTCTAGTTGTAATGCCTCATTGAAAAATTTCGTGTGTGTGATAAATTTCTTTAAGACAGATAAAAAGGCTGAGCCCCCCAGTTTCATTACAGAGTATATTCCTCATTTACTACAACAGTGCAACTATTTAGTTTTGCAATATATTGTCCCTTTTAATGGAATGCATAGATATTTTAGTTTCAAAACGTATTGTCCCCTTCTCATGAGTAGCTATATCCCATGTTTGCATTTTTTCAATGGAATGTATACCTATCTACGATCCTATGTTTTAGGATCTATAGATCCCCTTCCGATCCTATGCGTGGGATCTCACTTTTGACTACCATGGATAATTGGATATACATACATATATACAGGAAGGTATTGCTATGATTGATGATGGACACCACGATGGCAGATGACCATATTGGTTTCCCTGTATCACTCATCTGGTCCTATTCAGGAGCTGATTGAGCTTCAGGAACAACACATTTTTATATGAGTGCAAAAACTGTGTTAACCCCCATCTTCTTTCATCCAGCAAGTATGTACTACTAGTATGCAAGTGTGCTAAGATTATGAATTAGGCTGTTGCAGGATGTAAAATGTACAATATGTATTGCTGATTATTCTCTTCGGAAACAAATAAGGATGTGTGTAATTTACACTGAAAACATATATAATTACATCACATTACGCATTCCATTGCTAGCTATTTATCAAACATTGCACAAGGCTCTATCTTAATTGTTTCTGAATCTTCCATTGTAGTGTACCTTAGGAAGGAGCAAGATTCTTACTCCTGTTGTTGTGTCCATTCAGAACCAGGTTCGCACCAGGTCCGTGGTTTAACTCCGAGCTTGAAGAAGAGAATGAGTTCTAATGCCTCGAACACTTTGAGCTCATTCAGGAGCTCATTCCACACTCCACTAACAATACAGTAATTGTTATTATAGGGCGGGCGGTGGTGGTCCGCGTGCTGTGACCGGGAAACGAGTAGTCGAGCATCTTGGAGCGCCACCACAATGGGCGGGAGTCTGCTTTTTGTGCCATGAGCCCAAGCGTGGAACTGCTGGCTGAACATGATGCAGCCCGAGCTGACTCCTACAAAGACGCTGAGAATCGGGTGGCCGACCAGAAGGTCGATTGGCAGAACAATGAAGGTCACAGCCCTGGCCAGGGCGTGCAGATTATTGGCGAACTCCCGCCGCGTGATCGTCCACGGCCTTTGATGGTGCCCCTGGAACGCTTCTATTTGGTTTCCGAAAACCGGAGTGTGGGTGGAGCCGTAGTTGTCGACGGCCCAGTGGTAGACTCCGGAGCCGAGGTCCGCCAGAACGTAGCCGATGTATCCGGCGAAAAGCGGCTCGAGCCATGATGCATGCGAGGCGGCTGCGACCGCCACGCCTTTGGCCAGAGAGATGAGCACCGTGGTGCAGCCGCACGCCACCCAGGCTCGGTGGGACCATGTTGATTTCAAGCTGATGCCGGGCTCACGGAGCAACGTTTTAGTAGTGGTTGGCACCGTGGCTGTAGGGCGGCTGCAGGCCCGCAAAGAGAAGCTGGTCAAACGGCGGCAGGAGGACTTGCAGCGGCGAGTTTGTGGCAAGGATCCGACGTTCTGTTGAGGACATTGTTGATGGAAAGACAGAGGTGTGATTAGGAGAGAAGCGCTGCTGTGACACATCGCTAGCAGTGGATCTGGAGAGAATTCGTTATCTAGACAGATCGATAGATACATGTTAGCCGGTGACGTGTTTCAATTCCCCTCGTATATATTTACATGTTATTTGTTCTCTACATTTCTGTCTTTCTCATCTAACCTCACCATTTTAAGAAATGCGATAAATACACATCCCAAACTCGCCAGTCATTTGCGAGATGCCATCAGGTAAACTATAGTAGTAGTTGTATGAGTAGTTTAACGGTTGTTGAGCGAGGGGTTGACGTGAGGTCTCAAGCTTCGAGCTTGGTAACTCTTTTATTCCGTTTACAGGACGTCTTATAATAAGACAAAATAATGTTTGAAATTATTTTTCTGACTGTATTGACCGAATATAATGTGTAAAGTCATTTTAACTATTTTTCATATTTTATTTTATTTTATTTTATTTTATTTTATTTATTAGTAACAAATATTTTATAAATGTGGTACCGTCCAGGATTTTTACCAGGACCGGGTCAGACTAGGGCCCGGGTTAGGCCTTAAATAATTTTTTTAAAATTGTCTTTTCGAATTAGAAAAATTGGCTGTAAATAATTTTTTTACAGCCCATTAATTACTAAATACAGCCTTATAATTTAAAAACCCATGTTATACCCTTGTTTTTATAATCTGCCGCATACTTATCAACATTTTCACGCCTCGTTCTTCATCTCCGTTGATACTTCTTTTCTCTGCCACGAGTCACACAACAGAAGCACGCCGGCTATGGCCCTAGTTTGCACACACTCAAACACTACATTGTTCTATCGATCTTGAAGAAAATTATCCAAAATATACGTCGTATTCAATTGAGTTTGAATAGATGATGTTTAAGCACGTCAAAAGCTAGGTACCACCTGTTCTAATCACAGCAAAAATTTTCAAATCAATTTAGGATACATGCATCCTATATAAAATTAGAGATTAGATGCATAGAGCTAACTAGTACTCTGTATATTTCAACCCATTTGCGGAATAAGAAACGAAGTCAAAGGGAAAGGGATCAATCGTGTCTATATTTCAATTGTGCTCCACGCTCATCAATATCCTTGCAGAAGTTTATTCTAATTGGTCTGCGTATAAGTGAACCGGCCCGGCTGGGCCCGGTCCGGCCAGACCAGTTAACTTGCAAAAATCATTTGACGACCTTCCCGATTGAATTTTGTGCTGAAATTTGGTATGGATGAACTAGACTTGATGAGGAACATACACAAAACATTTAAGCAAAAAATACCACCGGGAAGGCCCCCAAAAGGAGGAGGCCGGAAGGCGGTTCCTGTCAGGTATACCTGACAGGAACATTTGTGTGTGTATATATATATATATATAGAGGGAAGCTCACATCAGGAGTTCCTGATGAGAAGCCCCGTGCGGACAAGACCATCAGAGGGTCTTCCCGGTGGAATTTTTTTATGAATTTTTTTTATCATGTTTCTCATCAAGTCTAGTTTGTCTATACCAACTTTCAGCTCAAAATTCGATCGGGAAGGCAGTCAAATAAATCCTGGAAAAATATGGCTCATTCTGCGCACATATAATGTGCAGTATGTTTCCATGATTTATTTGACTGTCTTCCCGATTGAATTTTGAGCTAAAATTTGGTATGGACAAACTAGACTTGATAAGGAACAAACTCAAAAAATTTCATCAAAAAATTATATCAGGAAGACCCTCTGATGGGCTTGTCCGCACATAGCTTCTCTTCAGGAGCTCCTGATAGGAACGAGACTCTATCTCTCTCTCTCTCTCTCTCTCTCTCTCTCTCTCTATATATATATATATATATATATATTAAAGTATTAAGTATAAGTGTATTACTCATTTTATAGTAATATACTTATATATTATATACTATAAACATTATATTATATATTACTTATAATATATTTACACATTATATATACTATATATACTTATACACATTCATATTTACTTGATATTTAGTTTTTATCCATACTATTGTTATTTACTTGTATTTACATATTACATTTAGTTAATATATACTTATATATATATATATATAAGTATATATATATATATGTATATGTATATGTATATGTATATATATATATATTAAAGTATTAAGTATAAGTGTATTACTCATCTTATAGTAATATACTTATATATTATATACTATAAACATTATATTATATATTACTTATAATACATTTACACATTATATAAACTATATAGACTTATACACATTCATACATTTTATAAAAGTAGTTAATTGTTAGACTTCTCATTTATCTATTAAATTAGTTGATTGTTACATTTCTCTACATTTCTCTTTAAAGAAAAAATAAATTAGTTACTTGTTACATATCATTTTTCATTTAATATTAGTTAAACTAGTTACTTAGTTAATTGCTACATTTCTCATTAAAGTAAAAAAAACTAGTTAATTTTTACATTTGTCATATTAATATTAGTTAAACTAGTTAATTGTTACATTTGTCATATTAATATTAGTTAATTGCTACATTGCTCATTAAAGTAAAAAAAAACTAGTTAATTTTTACATTTGTCATATTAATATTAGTTAAACTAGTTAATTGTTACATTTCTCATATTAATATTAGTTAATTGCTACATTGGTCATTAAAGTAAAAGAAACTGTTAATTTTTACATTTGTCATATTAATATTAGTTAAACTAGTTAATTGTTACATTTCTCATATTAATATTAGTTAATTGCTAAATTTCTCATTAAAGTAAAAAAAACTAGTTAATTTTTACATTTGTCATATTAATATTAGTTAAACTAGTTAATTGTTACATTTCTCATATTAATATTAGTTAATTGCTACTAGGGTTGTAATCGAATCAAATAATTTGTGCTCGATTCGCGATTCGAATTCCTATAATACGATTCAAATTCGGAAAATTCAAATACAAATACAAATAAAAATATTAAATTTGATTTGAGTTGTTATCAAATACAAATAAGAATATCAGTGTATTCGATTCGAATATTAATCAAATATATTCGATTAATAATAATGGTAATATTAATATCAATATTAATAAAAATAGTAATAACACTATAATAACTTTGAAAAGATAGCAATACCCTCAAAGTGTAGCCCATATATACATTTTTGCATACAAATTTCAAGCCTATTTGTAATAAACCAGAATATAAGTACGAATATAAATCAATTTTTTGGTTCAAATGTCTTTCAAATACAATACAAATAATTATGTATTCGATTTGAAGAATAAAATTAGAGTTGTTTGACTTTGATATATACAATTATTAACTTATTTCACACATTATAAGTATCATTTCTAATATGTGTGTGTTAGTGTTTATTTCAAAAGGTTTGAAATAGATTTATATTTATTAATCATAAAATTAATTCACTTTAGTATATTGTGCACCATCTAAAAATGCATTTATCCATTAAATTTAAATTCTAAAAACACATATTAAGTCATAGCATGCACTTACAACATAAACAATACGGAGTATAAGAAAAATTATTTTAAAGCGATACTTCGTATTTGACTAATATTTTAACCTATTTACAAATCGAAATTAATATTCGTTGCTTATTTGAATTCGAATTCGTATTCGAAAAAATTAAACAAGGCTAAAGTGTCAAATAGGCCCTTGAACTGACTTAAAGTGTTCAATTAGCCCCTTATATAGGAGGTTCTGCCCGGCCATCGCCAATTAGGGCGGTTCCTGGTGGAGTTTTTTGATGAAGTTTTTTGAGCATCTTCTTCATTAAGTTTAGTTTACTCATACCAAATTTCAGCTAAAAATTCAACCGTGAAGACAGTCAAATGATTTTTTGAAGGTAACTGCGAAGTTAAAAAGCGCAGTACATTTCGGAAAATCATTTGACTTCCTTCCCGGTTAAATTTTTAGCTGAAATTTGGTATGGGTAAACTAGACTTAATGAAAAAAATTCTCAAAAACATTCATCAAAAAATTCCACCGGGAACCGCCCCAATTGGCGACTGCCGAGCAGAACCTCCTATATAAGGGGCTAATTGAACACTTTAAGTGAGTTCAAGGGCCTATTTGACCCTTTAGCCATTAAACAAATACAAATACAAAATATCATTATTCGACTTGATTCGGTTCGCATACAACCCTAATTGCTACATTGCTCATTAAAGTAAAAAAAAACTAGTTAATTTTTACATTTGTCATATTAATATTAGTTAAACTAGTTAATTGTTACATTTCTCATATTAATATTAGTTAATTGCTACATTGCTCATTAAAGTAAAAAAAACTAGTTAATTTTTACATTTGTCATATTAATATTAGTTAAACTAGTTAATTGTTACATTTCTCATATTAATATTAGTTAATTGCTACATTTCTCATTAAAGTATCAATTAGAAGTAGTTCGATTTTTTTCAAGGAAAACAAATTGTTACATTTGATATACTCATATTTTAGTTCGAATTTGCTATAGTTTTCTTAGTCACATTTTATTATTACTATTGTACTCATATAAAATATTTGATATCATTTAATATTTGTTCAATTTTAAAGATGGACCGTGGTAGACATTCTGTAGATATGGGTAATCTCCAACGCAACCGCAAGAGGGAGATTGCGGCGACTCGTCCTACTTCACGCAAAGGCGAAGGTAAAGCGCGGGCCGAGTCTTCTTTTCAAAGTCGAGATGATTTTGAAACGGATTACCAACGAAGAGATGATATGGCGATGTCCGACGAGCAACTACAAAACCTATTGTCCCAAAATGATACACGCTTTGCACAAGAACAACAATTCCCGACAACCATTGATGAAGAGGAGCTCGAGGATGACGATGCGGAGGAGGACGAGGGGAGCGACGGGACTCACGGCACCCCGGATGATGAGCAAGAGTTGGAGGACGAGGGCGGTTCATCCCAAATTGGTAAGAAATCTAAATCTCCTATTATTGAAAATAATTTTACAAAAAGGAAAGACAAAAATACCCATAAATGGTACGCAAGTTGCAATCATTGCAACAAAGACTCAAAGAGTATAGCTTGGGAACTTCTAGCGGATACGGGAGTCTGACAAGGCATCTTAAGTCCGCCCACTTTGTGGAGTATGTGAAAATAGATAAAGGCAAGGGGAAGCAAACACAAATATCG